TCGTTGCGAATGTAGGAGCACTATTGGCTGTCGATGGGGTGGCAACCATTTGAATGTTTGGAAATTTTCATGTTCAAGGAAAATATTATTCTACGTCATAAGATGCGTTTACGTGTATTCAAATTTTTATGACAATTGTCCATGCATTAGAATTTTGTTATTTTATATGCTACGTGAGCTCACTGTAGTTTCACGCGTGTCTGAATAGAACTTGATACTCCTAACGTTTAACGCTTGAATGCTGCTCGTACGCGCAGTCAGGTAAGAGGGTGAATCCCCTTTTGGCCCTAAAGGCGTTCCTTGAAAATCCCTTAGTGGAATTCTCATGACGCGTCGTAGCGTTAAACAGAAAAGTGCTCTTGGATTGGCGCGTATCCGATAACTGGGTTACTGGGGCGAGCATGCAGGCAAGGAGGCAAGCATCTTATAGGTTTAACAGGATAGAATATATATATGTATAGTTATATAGTATAGTTATATAGTATAGGTGGGACAAAGCGGGGAAGCTGAACAGGACTCTACTCTAATTTAAAATTGATTATTTATTTACGCTCCCTTTCGTGGCTGTCGTCGTGGGAGATTATTTATTTTTTTTCTTTGGTTTTCTTTGACGCGACTTGATCTACAAATAGACGCTGGTCTAAGAGGATATAAGTGTTCTAAAAGGATATACGGGAAAATATGATGGGGGGCGAGCGTTTCGTTTCATGCGTGACAGTTGAAATTATGACTACGATGATAAGTATAAATGTACGATATTATATACATACCAATGAAGCCGTGTTTAGAATACGGAACTTTAGGACGAGTAACGTACGCATACCTATAGTAGAAAAGTAGTGTGGATAAATTTTGATTTGTCTTTTTATCAGTATAATATGGATACGGGTTTTGAGTGATGAAGCGAGTTACTTTATTCTTTGAGTATAAGATTTACTTTACTTTTATGTGGTTGTAGATTTTTGTGATCCGCTGATAGTGGCGGTGCCAGAAACGTAGAAAGTCAATTGATACGCGACAATGCTTACGAAATCCGGATGGGATGTGAGTTTAGTTAATACGTATTAGTGGCTCACCCTGTCGGCGTATTTGCGAATGGTATACCGACGCAGTATGCTCTTTCAGTAGTTTCGTCAACGGCACACAGATGGCTGCACGTACCGAGCAACAGTTGTGCTACATTCGTGACACAGTTCAGTAATTTTAATTATTACCGACATCAGGCTGCTGCACTATAAATACGAATAACAAGCTGATATAACCTGCTGCTAATTAATATCAATGATTGAATTTGACAAATCAAAACAAATCTTTGTCGTGTCTGGTTTATAGGAATAAATAAATTTAATGCTAAATTTAAAATTAAAAAAATACCGAAGGTATCGAAAGGAAATAGAAACAAACTTTTCGAACATTGAGTTTCATAAACAATTTTTTATTTATTATCAGTTATTAAAGCCAACGTAATATTTTATATTTATTTAAAATCTATACATTCTGTTCTGTACCTATGGAATTTATAAATTCACTTATACGTGTAACGTATTGAAGATCCACAAGCTTAATGTGTACTTCGACCGTTCGAAAGCAATACAATCTTTAACAAATCGCACGTGACCATAAAATCGCGGAAATATATACTAAAATAAAGAAATAAAAGTATATTTCAGTGTGAAACTATACACTTGCATAATGTCTAAACAAAGTGTTCAGAGCCTCTTGTGACTTGCCAGAGAACTCATGGTTTTCGATCTTTTAAATGAAACAAATAGAAGTCATGAGTCGACTACGCTATTAAAAAAATGATAATTTAGGTAATTTATAAACGGGCGAAATTTTTGAAGTGAAACTTCTTTACTGAGGGTACAGAAAATTTCAAACGTTACGAAAGTGAAAGGTTTTCAGGGGAGCATGATATTAGAATGATGGGGGAGAAGCGGGGAAATATTTGGATTGAGACGGAGATACGGTAGGGGAGATACGGAATAGCTGCGTAGCGGTCACCCAAAATTTACAGCGCGACATGAAAAGTGAAAGGCTGTGAGTGGATTTGTGGTTGCGGGGTATGGCTGGGGGGGAGGGTTGAAATTCACTTTCCTGGCTGGCGTGGAGGGAAGTGACGTATCAGTGACGCAGTAGTCTTTCAGCTCTCGTGTCACTTGGTGTCACTACAACCTATTTTTGAGACGCGGGCTGTGTTTTCAATTTTGCAGGTGGGCTGTATTTATTTTCATAGTTTAAAAAAACTGTGTTATCAGATATAATGCCGAAAAAAAAGAGTAGGGAATATGTGAAAGCGTTTCGTGAGCGACAATGTGCTAATAAACCGTCAAAATTATTGCTAAAACCTTACAGCGAAAGTTCAGAGAGTATTCGGGCGCGAATAAAAGCGTTGCAAAATGCAGAACCCGTGGGTGACTTGATATAGGATTCTGCAATACCGACTGTCGCTTCACCCGAAGTATTACAAGACTCTTCAATACCGACTCAGTCGCGAGAGAGAGGTAAAGTGAATTCAAATAATGGAAGTGCACCACTGATGATGGACATAACAGTGTCGTATAATAATTTTGCATCCTACAAACCTGTACGGAAAGAATTTGGAAAAAATGATCAAACAGTCTATTCCGGCATGTGCGCATCATTTGTCTACTTGAATTACATCACCAACTACTGTGATGTACATTTCGCAGTGAAGAAAATGAAATATTAGTTCAACATCAATTTGTGACAAATTTAGATATCCAAAAGACAATTGAAATTTGCAAAGAGTTATGTCGAGAGAATGATGAGTATGATGACACGAGTGATAGTGCTCCCTTGGAGACACTGGTAGAAAGAGCAGCGGCGCCTGATCCGTGGCAAAAAATTCAGAACCGGGAATTTAATCCCGACCTAGTACTTGCAGCCGTCCATAAACTTCGTGCCATCGCAAAAAAAAACGATAAAATTTGATGTCTAACGAACAATATTATGATTGAATGAAAATAGTTAATGATAAACAGAGAGATCTCTTAATGCATGCAATAAATAATCTGCTCCATTTCTTGTTTTCTTAACTGGTCCTACAGGTTGTGGAAAAACATTTATCATTCGCCTTTTAATGGAAATTTATAATCGATATTCCATAACCGACGGTTACTGCAATGCATACATATTACATGCGCTTCAACGGAGAAGGCTGCTGTCGCGATCAACGGTATGGACGATCGAAAATATCTCTTTCAAAAATTTTACCTTTGCCGATCGAAGGTGTGCAACAATATCGAACATTTTTCAAGTACATTAAAGTCTTGATAATAGATGAAATAAGCATGATCAGTGCTGAAATTTTGCACACATCGATGCTCGTCTAAAAGAAATAACAGGGAATTATTAAGTGAATTTTAGAGGAATTGATGTGATTTTAATTTGAGATTTGAGGCAGTTACCGTCAGTAAGGGCAACACCAGTTTATAAACAAATAAGAAGACAGAGAAATAATAAGGATAAGGGCGCAAAATGGGCTCCATCCCGCCCATTTCCGTGAGGTCCTATCTGTCCACAAGAGAGCTACGATCCCTCCGAGGCTTAACAGGGGACCGTGTTCTTTCCTTGGATTGAAGAAGAACTCACGAGCCCTACAGCTGTCGCGCACAGCACTAGGGGTGGTGGGGAGACCTTAGTAAAGGAGGATAGTCGGATTGAGCGTACTAGAAAAACACAAAAGGTAAAGTAAGTTAAACACGAAAGGTCTACCAACTACAAGATTCACTGCAATGGAAGACCCCGGGGGTAGCACCCAACAACGCCCTTGCGAGCACCACCACGACGTCCCGAAGGACGATATTTGATGCTTACCACCTCCGCGTTTCCCACCGAGCAAGCTCAGTGGGTTAAGCGTGAGAGACCACGTCCGCCGGCGGCAGCGGATCCCATCAGCCGTTGATCCCCCCGCGCATAATGTCTCCGACAGAGGGTGACTTTAGGTAGGTGCTGAATAGCATCCGCATTATCTGAATTAAAGCTTATCCAAGAGCACAAGCACAGGCAAGACTTTACCCAGAGCCAACGGACTACCCCAAGGCCAAGGCCCCTGTCGGGAGACCCAGAAGGTCCTGTTGCGGCTACACTTTAGCATGACCCACTTAGGGAGCTCAGCAATTGAGGCGGAAGGGGAACCTTCGACACCATGGTCGATACGTATAGCTACTTTAAGCTACTTTAGCTACAGGGTGACTACCCTTATATCACTACTCGAATGAATATGCTCAATCCGACTAAGGAAACAGGAAAAGTAAAATAAGCACAATGGACTGTGAGAAGGAATAGTACTTGTAAATATTCTTGGCCAGGATTTCTGTTTTTTAAGTGTTAATATCTAACTTTATTGATCTAATATGCCACACGCTTAATTTATTAATATTTTAATTTGAGCATAATTTATTTTCGAAATTTTACAATTTCAATAAATTTTTATCTACTCCGTATATTTTGTGAGATTTTAATTTAGTCGCAGATTTATATTTTGAACAAATTTCAAAAGTAAATCACAAACGTGGGACTGATTTGAGACTCCTCCTCTCAGGTGGCGCGTCGACGCCAAATTAAATTTGGTTTCAAGAAAACCGGTCCCTCTATACTCTTTTAATTCTTCTTCCTCCTGTTACAGTTTCATCGCCTAAAGAGCAAGCGCCAATAGCGCCCCAAGCGCTTCCTTTAATTGATATAATTATTAAAAGAATGATAGTCCAAGTCTGTCTCGTCATTACACATCTCGCTGGCTTTGCTTGAGAGATACCTTCTTCAACGGAATATTGAGAAACTACATTCCTTCAGTATTCCCAATCGTGGCACTCGGTATCAACAAGATAGTTAAGAAAAATAGGAGACACCTTTACATCAAGAATTACAGAAAGATGACACCTCCAAAATACGTATTACTCATTGACGAAGTATAATTCTAATTTTTTAAAGTAATTAGTCTCACAGATAAACTGATGTAATTAAAAGTAGTTTAGTATCAGCACAAGTGAAAATTAATTTTTATTCATTGATATAATAATAATGTTTGATAGGTACAAATCCTTTTCCGTTGTAAGACAACTAAAGTATAACAAAATAGCGTCCCTACAAAAATCTTGAGATGATCAACCCTGGATGCTGATGCACCCAAGTGAAACTAATATATTGAGAAGATCCCCGAATACGTAAAGTGATATAGTATACACTTATTATCCCGTCTCATCGTTGCTTCACTTTCGTCTGGTAACAAACCTTACGCGAATAGGATGAGCCGGTCTCAATACCAGATCAGCTAGAAAGCGGTTCTCGCTACGGCGATCGATTACTTCTAAGTAGAAATTATGCAGCAGCAGGCCTACAATAGCCTTCAGCTCCAGCATCGCAAACTTCTGGCCTGAAATTTCGTTGCAACTTCAATTTGTGAATTTGGTTAACGATGCTTCCGATCATAGCTTACAGGCATTAAGTGTAGTCGCTGTGAATCCCATAAGGTTCGATAATACATTCTCTTACCAATACAATTACGAGGTCCCGCGCTGAACGGCAAATAGCAAAACGGATGTCGACCCTGTATCTTCTCTGGCAGAAATCTATCAGGATCAAACACCAAAGGATCAGGCCAAAAATTTGGATCCCTATGGAGATCATAGGTATGTATATGCACCGTTGATCGAGCAGGTATCAGATAATTCTCTATAATCATACATGCATATAATTGGAATTAAACTCTAACAAAAAATGATCTTGCATGTCCGACTGGCAGCTTTACTACTTTCTTCAATACATACTTAATTGAAGATCTTCGGATAGTTTTCGGGACATGAATGGCACGCTGGGATAGAGACGCAGTGACTCCTTGATGCAACGATCAAGATAGGCGAACTGTTGGATTTCCGTTATCGTCACTTCTCCATCATTTTGTTTCAATATTTCATCGATCTCTTTCCTTGCCTTTTCCTGGATTTCGAAGAAATTGTATCAGTCGTATAGATGCTTGAAATTCATTATGCTAAAGGGGTTTTGTTTGGCGGGATGACCCGACGAATACATTCTCCCACAAGGAAAAGAAAAAAGTATAAATAAAGAGGTGGCTGCAGTAATTACTATGCTGTCAAGTTACCTGAATATCCTTGTGCTCCGCAAGAAGTTGTATAATGTAACATATAGCCATCGACGTGGTGTCATGTCCCTGTAATAAACAGGATTATTCGTATGAATCATTTACAGAAAAGCAATAAGAAGGTACATTAAGCTATGCAGAACTATACTATAGTGCGTGGTCGCTTCACTGAAAGCATGGAATATTTGAAGAATGTTATGACTACGATTTTTTGTATCATTTTTCTAATGACTTATGTGTACGAATAACAAATAACCGAAGGTTATGGTGTTTAGTATTCCGATAAAAAGTCCCACACAAAAAGAACGTTTATCAGTTT